TCCGCAGTATTTTGGTTTGGTTGGATCGGCAACACGGGACCTCTCTATCGGTCCTCGTTTTACTATCTCACAATACCCCTTAAAATTAAAAAAATTTTTTTACATTTCTCTTAAATTGTAAACAAAGGGACAAAAGTATGATCTATTCTGAAATCAGAAACTTTACATGCTTTATATTCTGCTGATTATCCATCCATCAGAATTTTGATTATTATATATATGTGTGTTTTAATCATGTGTATTTTGAAAAAAGAAAAAAGAGATATCTAATAATAATTCAAAAAGTCGTGAAGTTTGGGAAAAAAAAAACAAAAAAAAACAAAATGAGAGCAAACCTTGACAAACTTTATGATGCCTATGAAAGATTATTCGGAAATAGTAAAACAAATTTATATTGCTTTTATATATACTTAGCAATTACAAGTAATTTAGATTTTAATAGAAATGAGTGTCATGATATTAATGCATTTTTTATTGGAAAACATCAAGTCAGTATTTTTTTTTTTTTTTGAAATAATTTTTGTGATGAAAAAACATTTCACCACCCTGCAACAGCGCCGATTTATTCCATACATTTTGTTTTGATGTATTGCCACCCTAGTTGGGCGGCTCGGCAATATAATCTTGCAATTTGTTAAAGTGATGATATTGTTGTCCTGAAAAAAAAAAAAAAAATCTAGTACCAAAAATTATAAATATTATTCATTAGAATGAATGATAATTCATTTCTTTTTTTAATTTATTCTTTATCTAGGAAACTGAAGAGAGGTTCATGAGCCGTGTTTTTTATCTATCCATCAAAAATTTATATGAAAACAATAAAAAATTCACTTATTCTGAGATAATTAATGGCTGTGTGGAGGAAAGAAATATCTTCGTATTTGACAACAATAACAACAACAGCAGTAGTGATGATAGTAGTGATGATAGCAGCGACGATAATAATGGTGATTCTACTGATACAAAAGAGCTATCTGATGATAGTTACATTGATGAGATACAACCTGCTAATCCACATACCAAAAGAATCAATTCGTTGTGTAGACTTAAAGTAATTATAGATTTTTTGTTTATTTATTAATTTAATAGGAAAAGATAATAAATTTATGGGGTTTTTTTTAATAGAAAGTGGAACCCGTGATTAGCTGGACCTTTAAAAAATACAATATTTTTTGTTCAATTTTCAAAGGTTTAAACAAGGAGCTACTAATTGGATTGGACTACAATGATCCGATTAAATCTTACATTGTTGATTTTACTACTGAAAACGTTTTCATTGATGCTAAGTTGAAGAAATTACGCGAGAGGTATAATACCAATGAAGGCGATATTATGTTTAAAAAATATCATAGTAACTATGACAATGATAATTTACTAAGTTTTTTTAATGATAACAACAATACGGAAATAACAACTGAAGAGTCAATAGCAAAATGGCTCATAATAGAATTGTAAGGGGGTTTTTTTTTTGTTTAAAGCATTAATGAAAAATTTTATAATAAAATTATTTATTTATTTGCAGAAAAAGAAGGTGGAATAATTTGGCTTCTAGATATTTTAATCTTTATAATGAGGGAAGTTACGAACACAAGATTGACTTTATCATGAGGTTTTCTTTCTTCGGTCTAGATAAAGCTTTTATACAATGGTAAAGTATTTATGATATATGAAATTATATGTAAAAGACAATTTTACTTGAAAATTTGTTTGTTTTTTAGGCATGAATTCATATCCAAAGCATCAAAATCTAGAAAGGAACATCAAAAACTTTTAGATGAAAAGATATGTGGAAATAAACCAGATTTTGTGATAAAATATGTTGACAAGTCCCTAATTGGAAAAAATATATTCGAGATTTGTTTCAGAGAAGTCAGTGGCAGTCCTTTTGATGAGGATAATGATAAAGTCAGTGATGACAAAAATAAATTGGTTAAATTTGGTAATGATTCCAAATGCGAGCTGTTATCTTTCATTTTTAAAAAAAATAAACTTTATGGTGAGGGACACCTAGAGGATATTTTGAAGCTCCCAATCATTTTGATCCAGTGGCGGGGTAATCTATATTTTAATGTTTGATATTGTTCTTTATTTTACGAGCAGAATATAAATAATGTTTTGTAATTTCTCAGGATTGGTCATGGATATCTATAAACTGGTTCACCCAACATACATCAGAAACGACAACAACCTTGTGCCCATTGGCGCGCTGACAAGATTATCTCTTAAACGGTCAGAGTATTCTTTAATGGTAACACAAATTAAAATTTTGATCATTCTTATTGGTCAATTTAACGATCAGCAAAGTAAAAACAGTCAATCGACCAACTTTTAAAGAGGATTTTACAAAAACCACAGGGACAACAACTGGATTTTTAGAAAGTAATGCCCTCAGAAAAAAATTTTTATATCAGAAAATTTTTATCAGCTATCAATAGCTGATTAACCATTTAAGGGATATTCTGTTATAATTCCATTTATGAAAAAAGACAAAGACACTGTACTAAAGTTCATACAAGTCACAACCCAATTACGATCCACAATTGAGGATATCATAGAAGAATATGATCACCACTTTACTACTTTGTCGATGGCAGAAAACTGCAGCACCAACTCAAATTACATTTACACCACATCAATTAAATCTCCACGATCAGTATTTTAACTAATTTGTGCATGAATATTTTTTCTTGATTTTCTTGTCATTAATAATTTTCATACAATGCGACCTTTTTTTTACCCATCGAAAAATTTTTTATTCTAGAAATGGCATTTTATAGAATTGATATGCAGTCAAACTAAAACAATAATAATAAATAATAAATAATAAATAGTAAATCATCCACAAACTAACTCATCTTCACGGATGTATTGTTCCATTGAATTCATTTTATTTTTCAACAAGTTTACAAATGAGGAAGCAATTTACAAATTTTTCAAAAAAAAAAAAATTTATACACGTGTGCATAAAAATGAGAAAAAAAAATTAATTTTTAACTATT